TTATACCTAGAAACGCATTTCACATTGTGATGTTACTATCTAGATGGAAGCGTGCACCAGTGTGGGTTGTTCAGTGTCTGGGATGTCTCCGAGCTTCCGTACTCTCCCAGCTCCCCCTGAAGGGGTTCCTGCACCTCACCTTTACTCTGACACCCCCACTTCTGTTCTCTTGTCCTGGGGTGCACCGGAGTTGAGCAATGGCCCACTGGAGCGGTGAGATATTGTCACATACTGTAAAACTGCAATTCCTCTGTGACACTCCGCTTTGTATATAAACTCCATTGTATCTTGTGCTGGTCATAGATGGCTGATTGAGCGCAGAGTTGCTGGGACCAAACAAGTGTCCACAGTGGGCCATCTACCACCAGACCCTCCTCCTCTTTCCTTCCTGGACTCTTCATCAGCTCTCAGTCCCTGGACTAGCTACCAGTATCGGCTTGTGCTCCATAATCAGGCTGGCAACACAACAGGTAAAATCATAATAATGGGCTCAACTGAAATTAAATCCACCAAACCACCAGAATTTGATCAAGATGTGTGAATGCTGCATTTTACACGGTCTAGTGGCAGCTTAAGGATGAAGCTTCCAACTTTTGCTATTTGGAAGATTTTCAACCACATATTTTTACATACTTGCAGGACCCTGGGTCAATATCACCACCAGACCGTCTCGGCCAGCTGGTCTCAGTCCACCGAGGGTGAAGGTCTTGGGTACAGAGTCACTTCAGGTATGTTGACTTCTCACAGGTTCACAAAAAACCTCTTAAGTCTGACATGAGAGCACAAAAGTTCTGAGATATGACTGAAGCACACACATTTAATGTCAAGTAAGCCATGGTGCTACTGATTGTAAAATGAAATATCTCCCATTACATTCAACTGATAAAAGTTTTCAGAATCTCTGAGCTTTTAGAATTTAAAAAAGTGTTTAAGTTTCTTGAAATGGAAAATACAGAGAAAATACAATACGGCAAATCTCCTCAGTCACTCAGAGTAGAAAAGACAAAGCAATGTCACACTGATTCCTTTGTCGTTCCTTCTTGAGATTTAATGAGAAAGAAAAACATTCAACTCAAGGTCCCCTTCAGAAAATGGGAGGGGCTGTGACCCTGTCTGAGGCAGCTTCCTTCCTGTCGGCCATTTTGAAGGAGGGGCCAGAGTTAAATTCCACCACTGGCTAATCCCACATCAAGGCCTATCAACAGAAGCCTCTGAAACAATATTGAACGCATGCACACACACACACACAGACGCACACACATGCACTCACAACCCTGCACTAATGCTAACTGCAGAAAAATGCTAATGCCTGTCATCATTTCAGAACCGCCCCTGTCATCTCTGCAGCAGCACAGCTTTAGGGGTCATAGGTCCGAGAAGGAAAGTGTTTCTTCCTGGTTGTTGCTAATTGGACAGACAGGAGGCCGCTTCCTGGTTACCAATTGACCTTGACAACATAGAGCGGATTTTGAGTATCTCCCTTCATTCTCTAAATGGTTTCTTTTTCATATCACTTCTTGCTCATCGAGGTATTAACTCTCTCCCATTGTCACATTTTCTTTTCAGTTTGCTTGTTTTGTCCGTGTCCTTTTATGTAGTTATACTACTGGTCAGGTTATCAAGGCACAGCCAAAGTCCACTGAATGTGTGCGATTCTGATATTAGGATGGCATCTCTGTTATTCAAAGACAGTGTCATTTTGGCTTTATCAGACTGTGAGTGGAATAGTCTGTACTGCTATGCAGTAAGTGATGAAGATCAACACCTTGATTGTTGTAATGCAGGTTTTGTATTTGCAATGATCGTAAAGAGTAGACTGTAACCACTCTAAATGTTCTCTGCTACTTTGTTAGGGTCAAGTGATTAGTTTCTCATTCTCACACTCATTATCTCTACCAAGATAGTTTACTTGTACATTCTCTGGTAGTTTGTTAGTTATGATATATGCATTTTTAAACTTTAGTGAATTAAACCATTAATTAGATTTTGGCCATCTTCTGATCTGTGATCTACCATTACCACCATATTTTTCACTCTTTAACCATAAATATAATAAAATCAGGTTTGCAGGATGACAATATAAAATTACCTTAATGTTTAAGTGGGAATGTTGATTCATGTACAAAGAAATAGTAGAATTGTATTGTCAGCTGCAGAGGCTAGCACTCTCTCGGTGCCTTTGAGTTATTCTCTGATTATAATGGCATAGATGCACAAAGACACACAAAGACACACACACATACACCACGTCCTTACACACACACACACACCTATTCTCTCTCACTACCAACTCTATCATCTGTCTCTCTCTCACTCATATACACATAAACACATATACAAACACACATACACACATACTGTACTGGCCTTAGCCCCAGTGCTCTGTGTCAGCCCGGGGTCTCTGCTGTCTTCACCATCTCCAGATTACATCAGGCTATTCAATCTGTAAATGACTTCCACCACAAAGCACACCCAACACGCACTTTGGGAAATGAGCTACCTAACTCAACATGACCCTGCCCATATGTGGTTGTGTGTGTGGCTCAGAGTGTGTGTGTGTGTGTGTGTGTGTGTGTGTGTGTGTCCTGTATCACCTCACAGTGTCACTTGTTAAATGAATATCAAGGTTGCATGAGAAATAATTATTCTTGACGTTCATTCATAATACTCTCATCAACATTGACCACTTAATCACCTAAACTCATAAGTCTCAACAAGCTGTGAACTGATCAGTTATTCTACATGACAGTTTGTATCCGTAAGTGTGTTAGAGCACACAGTACATGAACACAGATGTGTGTGTGTGTGTGTACGCGCTGTTTGTATGTAGATGTATACACAAAATATTTATTGTATAGATATCTGTAATTCAAACGTGTATGTGTGTGTGTGTGTGTGTGTGTGTATTGCCCATTTGTGTGTGTGCCAGTTACCTTCATCTTCACTCTGAAATGCTGACAGACTGAACTGTTTCCAAATCAGATGCAGTGCTGAACGACAGCAAGCTTTTGTTTTTGCATGCACCAATTCCATTACCAGCTGTTTTCATTATTTTAGCATGGTGTTTGTGCATGTGCGTGTGTTTTTGTGTGTGTGCCCTGTTTTAAATTTGATGAAAGGAATCTTCTGCTCAAGTCAAAGTCAGGTTATCTTTCCCCACTAGAGAGTTGAACACACACACACACACACACCGTGATCATCCTAATGCTGTACATTCACATACCCAGGTGACAATGTACGCACGCACAGATACTACCTACATCATAGCACAAGTAGCACTCAACTGACCACACTTGCATTTCTCTGCAGATATGTGTTTGCATGAGCACACACATGCAAGCTTTGCACATACACACACGCACTGTACCATGACTTCCTGTAGTTCATCCATCTAAAAGCTTTCTGCTGTCTGCAGCATGCTGAGAACATTTAGACTTCCCAGCCGACCAATGAGATGACTTTGTTGGGATAATGACAGGACAGTTAGAAGTGAGGGATCAAGTGAACTAGGCCTTTGGTTTTCTCTCAATACTGTATTTTGAATGAATAACTCAGAACTTAAATCTAACACACTTGTGTTTCAGGTCACATGGTCTCCTCCACTTATTCCCAATGGAGAAATCCATGGTTATGAGATCCGCCTCCCAGAACCCCGCATCTTCCATGACAGTGCAAATTCTCCTGAGCTCAACGTCACAATAACGGACCTCATTCCATACACAAACTACAGTATCACTTTGTTAGCTTGTTCCATGGGTGGTGGATATGTTGGAGGATGTACAGAAAGCCTGCCCACTCTAGCTACCACATTACCCACAAGTCCTGAAGGTATTGCACTACTGTCCGTAGTGGCAGTCAGTGAGTCTTTCTTGGCTATTTCCTGGCAACCACCAAGCAGACCCAATGGACCAAACATCAGGTAATTCAGAGGCTGTGCAATGATACACCATCACACCAAATTCCCTTGTTTTTCTTTTTCATCAATATTGCAATAAACTTGCAATATGAATAGTAAAACTAGTACGAAAACATTTAAATGAAAAGGGCAAAAAATATGAAATGGAGTAACTAAATGTTTACTGTAACATTACTTTTCCCAGCAATGTTCTTCAGTACCTGCATTACATTGACTGGCTAGTGAAAATTGTATTAGTGTGTTGCACGTAACATTTAGACATATAAAATGTGTGTCAATCAATATGTATGGGGGAACGTGTGTGTATTTAACAGAACATACAGTAAAAAATTACAAAGGAAGGATGATGAGTTGTGTGTAGAAATACACCATGTAAAAATACAAAAGTCACCTTAAAATACATATTATCCAGGTCAGATTCACGTGTCCACAGCAGCAATCTCAACATGATTCAGTCAACATTCCCACTATGAATCAGTCAGACATAACTGCTTCCAAAATACACAGAACCAAACAAATTGCGTCTACTGCTTTCTGATGGTTCTAGGAATTTAATAACTAATTTAAACTAATTATGATGAGCTAATATGTGTGGATCCCAATCTGTGTAACCATCATAACTTTATATAATCGAAATTGACCCTGTATTTTCATTCATTAGCTGAAGCCCAAAGTTAGAAACCAGGCAGCAAAGACTCCAAATGAGCATGTTGTTTTCGAGAGACACATTCTGGAGATGTTCAATTGTTACTGAAAAATGTAAGCAAACAGGCAGATTGGAACGCGTTAACAAGCTGCTAACATGAGTGCCCTGGTAATGAGCTAAGTGTTGTGCATTTTTTAATCACTGTTTTCTCAGTCCTGACGCACATTCTGGTCCGTTTTGTTCTGTCCTGTTCTACTCTGTCGGAGATTAGGCCTAAAATAAAGGTCCATTTTCCTGGCAGGCGATTAAAATGCATGAGCCCGTCTCTCTGTTCTGCTCTGCTCAGCTCTGTGTGTTTGTCTAAGTGGGTTGGTTAAAAGGCGGCATTAAGCCCTTCTCTTCTGATTACAGCAGAAATTAGCATCACTGTGGGGAGAGGAAAACACAAACCCTGCAGAAAAAACAACAGAGGGAGGGGCGTCGGGAGGGTGGGGTGAGATACAGTGAACGCAAAAGAATAGAGATGATGAAAAACAGCAGAAGAGGAGGAAATGAGTGATAAGGAGAAGAGTTGAAAATTGTGTGTGTGGTTATGTCTTTATACATGCACGTGTGTGCAGGCGTGTGTGTATTTCCATGTGGGTGTGTGCTCATACTGGTGCAATTGTGAACACATGTTGTGTGTTAATGCATTCCTAAACATCCAACCATGTGTGTGTGTTTCTTTTTATTCAAATTTCCCCTTCAGATACAAGTTGCTCAGACGTAAAATCCACCAGCCCCTGGCCATTGCCAAGGTCCCCACGGTAACAGCCATGTCCCCTCCCCCCTCTGAAGATCTCCATCGCTGGCTCCATGTTTACTCCGGCACCAAATTGTTCTACCAAGATAAAGGCCTAAGCAGGTGAGATTACTGAAATGAGCTCTAGAGCAAACGCCGGCGCCGCAGCAAACCGTGTGTGCAGAGCCGATCGGCGAGCTGCCGCTGATGCCGATCTTTTAATACCGCTCAAAGATACATTAAGCAAATATCCCAAAGAATTAAATTGTTTTTCACACAGCGTCCCCTAATCTCAGTTTGGCACTTGGTGGAAGCAAATTTTTTTTTCTCTATGCTTGCTAAACGGGTGTACTCTTTTCTGGTTTGTGTCTCTACTGTGTTTTATTCAAGTAGTAAACTGACAAACTTTTGAACGTGTCAGCACTTTTTACTTTGCAGGATTTTATTTATTTTTTTATTTTTTTGTCACTTGCACTAGGAACTAGTCTCTATTAGCATGTTATTTTTTCTTTGCCAAGCTATTTTTGAATGACTGATAGAAGAAACTACTTTTTTTCAGTCTTTTATTCAGAATCTTGACGATATTTTCCAGCAACATTAATCGCTGTTGTGTCCCGCCTATCAAAAAACGCAATATTTTCTCTCAACAGATTCACCCGTTACGAATACCAGCTAGAGGTAGAGAATGACATAGGCTTCTCCTCAGGAGAGATTGTTATCGGTGTGACCATGGCAGGGGTTCCCCACCACATTCCGTCTCTGTCTGCCCAAGCTGTCAATCACACTGCTGTACAGGTCAACTGGACACAACCCTGTAAGATATCCTCTCTCTTAAAGACACACACTCAAAACACACACAGTCTGCCCAGAAAAGGTCTTTCATTGCCATATATTCTATGATTGTTATGTGACTTGAAAATAAGCTAAAAAGTGAAAATAGCGACACAAAATTCAGTTTTGTTAACTGCTCTCTCACTATCCATCTCTATTTGTGTCTTTTTTTCAGCTCTGCAAGATCTACAGGGAGACGTGGAGTCTTACTTTCTGACAATAGAGTCTGCCCAGTCAAGTCAAATCTTGGTTTTCCCCCAAGAGATTATCTCCACAGTGATAAGTGACCTCTGGCCCAGTACCACATATCGGGTGTCATTACAGGTGTCCAATGGAGCACATAATACAACTAAGGCAATGGTTAACGTCACCACAGAGGATGGAGGTATTACTTACTTACTATTCTTACTGCACATATATGAGTGAGGGTGTTAATGTGCACATATGTATATATGAGTGTGTCATGCACAGTACATAAATTGAATACATCCACGAGAGGTGTCTGTGTCAATTTCCCTGCAACTCTGTGCTTCTGATGAGATGTTAAACACATCATGTAGCAAGGCATGAAATCAATACAAAGTGCGTGTGTGTATGAGGCAGATTTGAGGGGTTGTAAAATGCTTGTTGGCACTGCACGCAGACAAACGCACGCAAACTGCACACACAGCCATACGCATAAGACAGTAAACATGGGTGTTCTCATGTCTTATGCAGGCTAATAACTATACTTAGATATTCTATGGGGAACATCTATACTAAAATAAATTGTATCTTATGTTGAAATGGAAACGTTCCACCAACATATGCAAACATATACATTACAATACAATATACCTCTTACTAGATCTTCATTTGATGTCTTTGCATCGTCTGTTAATATTTGTAAAATGAACAACTGAGACTCTTTATCAGAATCTAAAATCTGGAGTTTTGAGAGAGTGTGGTAAGTAGAAAATAAGCAACGTTTTTACTATATGCATTGCACAAGTTATCCAACTGTCATCAAGACTTTTCTCTCCATTTCCCTCTCGAACTCTCAGCCCAACCTCTCAGCATTTGAGGGTTATCTTCCAAATCACTCTATGTATTCATATGTCAGAGGCTGCTCAGTCTGTCTGTTGTTTTCTTTGCGCCCCCCATACACACACAGTTCTCTTTCTTTTTCAGTACAGTCATATGTCAGAGACCTCTCTCTTTCTCTCTAATCTGAGCAGTATAATAAAAAGTGCATTAAAAACATTAGAAAATCATTAGGTGCTAAAGGCAAAGCACGGCTCGTTTAACTGAGAGGGCTCTGGAGGTAATTTCATTATTTTACAGCCATAAGAGTGTGCACACACACACATACACACACACACCAAGGCCAAATATATTTTAACTAATGCAGCTCAACCCTACCAACCAGCAATCTATAGGGCAATGCCAACATCAGGACTAATTGGCAAGAGAAATGTGTGTGCTTGTCTGTGTGTGTGTGTGTGTGTATGAGTCAAAGAGGCTCAGTGTGCAGTATTGCGTTGATAATGCCATCCTGCAGTAAATGAAATGTAGAGCAGTAGGTTGGGTTTAGGTAAGTGCATTGGCAGCAAATGAATTGGGTTAACTTCTCTTAGCTGAGTGCATTTTCACTTAGAATAATAGATGGAGTCTATATGATTACCTGTCTCACACACCATCTCGCATATTCTCTTCCTCTTTGTTTGGTTCCTCTTTTTCTCACTTTTCTACTCACAACCTGATCTCCATTGTCATTAAATGAAACTGTTACATTAACAATATTCTGTGTTCTTTGTCCCTCCCCTTGACTTTTAAATGTTCACTGTCTCTTTATCTTCGTAGTCATTCACAGATTAGCTCATACTTGTGCTCCATTTGTCAGATTTTCCAATGTCTTTCATTGTGTCTGTCGTTCACTCCTTCCTTTCAAACAGTGAAAGATCGAGCAAGTATATAACACAACACAGAACGGTAGAGGCTGTCTCAGAGAAAGATTAGCTATAACCTATGAGAGAGAGAAAAAGTGATGCAGAATCAATCTAGTATTCATAATAAAAATGAACACATGTAAGAGAAGTTAAACCAGTTTATATGCTGCCACTGCACTTATCTAAACCCAGCCCATTGCTCTGCATTTTATTTACTGCTAAATAGCGTTATCAACACAATACTGCATACACAGAGGACACACAGGTGGTCTCACTCCCTTACTAACACACAGACTCACAGGTGCCCTTTATATGCACACCAACAGTCTCTGTCTCTCTCTGTCAGACAAACATGCCATGCGGTACACACAATCGCACCCCTATAACCTCTCTGTGTCCATCTCTATCTCTTTCCTTCTCTTTCACACACATACTCGTACAAATGCACCTCTTGATTGTGTTGATGTTTGAGCTTTGAAAAGTTTGTCAGGCAGGTGTCTGCACTCATTGTGTAAAACTAGTGCTGCTACTAAAATAACTTTGAACCAAACTTGCATGATAGCTAAAACATATGCCCAGATTGAGAATGGTACGTCTATTATGAAATCTCATTCATGCATACTGGGGCCAACCATTATATAGCCTTTTTTCAGGATTCCAGCCTGACTGATGCACTGTATAAGGACATTTTAAAGTTTCAGTGGTGTAGTTTTTGTGTAAAAAAAACAAAGGAAGGTACAAGCAGTTATCAAATGAATTTGGTGTGAAAATACAATCCCATCATTTGCAGCTCTGTTTTTACATTATTGTAGCAGTGGAAGTAGTCCATACGTAAAAGCTTACGTTATGTTGAGAGCACTGGTTTCATACCACAATTCAAGCATATAAGTTTGAAGATGACTTGTTGTTCTTTAGAATTAAACAATTTGGGGTCAATGTACTCACATGTGCCATCCTCAGAGCCAGACGGGATGTCTGCCCCAGAAGTGGTGCCAGTTAACAGCAGCACAGTACGTGTGCTATGGTTCCCTCCTCTACGGCCCAATGGAGCAGTTACTGGTTACTACATCTATGTTAATGACCGTCTTCATGGCAGCGTAGACAACAGCTCAGGGTCCTACCTGCTGGGGGACCTGCTGCCTTTTACTGTCTACAATGTACAGGTACACATACAAATGAAAGCAGACATGCATCTCCAAACACAGACGCACAAATGTGCATTATTTTTTTGTCTGCCGTGTTTGTGTATTTCAGGTGGAGGTGTGTACTGTGTATGCGTGTGTGCGGAGTAATGTTACTCAGACAACTACTGTGGAGGACCTGCCTGTTGACATGGCCACACCACACACACAAGTGATCAGTCCCAGGTAATACAGAGATGTACCAAATTTTTGACCTATTCTTTAACTTGTAGCACTTGAAGCAGTTCAGCAGATGGAAGTTGATGTACTTGGATGATCTTAGCAATTTTTGGGTTGTATTCACATGGTTGAATGCACTAATTGTGAGTTGCTTTGAATAAAAGTGTCAGCTAAATGTAATGTAACGTTGCCTCACTTGCTATTTATGAAATGGAATGAAAATATTGAATCTTGACTATTTTTAGTATTGTTCCAGGTTCATGAAACTTCATATCTTTTAGTTTGAATGTAGAAATCATTAATGTTTATCGACAGTGCAAGAGGTTGGTTTGCATGTTTGACACAACAAAATCAATACAGCTGGCAGTAACAGAGTAAACGGTGGAGCTACTTTTTTGGTCTTGTAAAGGCAGCAGGAGATGTGCACTGTTTACAAAAGGACTGCATGCAAAATGTAATTTTACTTGGCAACTTTTACATAAATTAAGAATAACATAATCAAAAGTGTTTTTATTACACAATTTCAGCTGTACTTTGAAACCATATTTTGTCGGCATACAAACTAAAACTATTTATTCCTACTGCTGTAAAACCTACAGCCCTAGAAGACACAGGGACTGTGGCATGAATTTGTCTTCAGTAGTCTATCAAGATTGACTAATATTCAGCTATAATTACTGATAAGCAATGTTAAAATTTTAGCATACAGTAATGTATTAAAGTATTCTGACTATATAATGTAATCCTATTACCTTGGAGTTTATTTTTAACAGCTTCCAAAATTAATAAAATATTAATTTAAGATGACATGTTATTTGCAGTCAGTTAAATTTAGTGACATTTTACAATCTTTACTTCCTGTGTTTGACCTAAATTGCAACGTTGCAAATCTCATAGTTACAGAGGAAGTGGTGATTTGCGGCATATTTTCTATCTAGGAGAGTGTGGAAGTTGTAACTCTGTGTGTTACTACACAGGTCTTCCCCCTGTCAAAGATGTCAGAGATAAAAAAGAGGAAAATCAATAGTGAGAAGTGTATAAAGATACACACACCCTGACACTGTAACTCTGTGTGTGTGTTTGAGTATGACAAAGTTTTTGTGTGTCTCCCGGTAGTGTGAAAGAAGTGTGAAGAACATACCATGATCTCTCACTCTCTCTCTCTCTCTCTCTCTTTTCCTGCCTTGTGTCTCCCTCTGTCAGGGCGGTGAGGTTGGACTGGTCCCATCCAGGCAGACCCAGTGGGATTATGCTGGGCTTTGAGATCTTAAGACGGACCCTGAGGTCATGTGCCGTTGGGTCAACAGGGGTCACATCCTCTGTCGGGGAAGAGTCAGCAGGTGCAGGTGGTGTAAAGTTCAGATGTTCCTACCTGCAGTGTCCTGCCAGTCATGGTGTGTGTGGGACATCCTGCTTCCATCCTGACATTCAGGTGATTATATTCTTTTAATTTGGAACTTATTTTAGTTTTTGAAGAAACAGACAGCACTTACAGGTCAACCCAGTACAATATTGATTGTTCTAGAGGGGTACTGTTTTTCATTTTTTGTCAAGTCAAGAGTATTGCGTTGAACCACACAAACTTCTATATGCCTCGTGTTGATGACATATGTAATAAAATACTCTTTTGAAAAGCAAGACACAACACACATAATGATTATGGGTGTATTGAGAATGATGCATTTTGGGGTATATTTTTCCTCTCTTCTGTTCTGCTTTGTTTTCATATTTCTCCTGCTTTAATCCTCTCTCCGGACCTTTTCCCCTGTCTGTGACAGCCTCTTTTAAATAAAACTTCCACATCAACAACAATGTGTAAAACAAGATATAAGTCCAGGGTCTTTGCTTTCGAACCCCTTAAAGGTCTGGTGTGTAACCTTTTACTAGAAGGATCTATTGGCAGAAATGGAATATATTATTTGGTATGTTTTCATTAGTATATAATCACCTGAAAATAAGAATTGTCATGTTTTCATTACCCTAGAATGAGCCTTTTATATCTACAGACGCTGTGGGTCGCCTTCCATGGAGTCTCCTATGCTGAACCACCATGTTTCCACTGTAGCCCAGAACAGACAATCCAAACACTGGCTGTAGATAGGGCCGGGCATTTTGCAGGCTCCATAGTTTCTTCTTTGCGTTTGGGAGGGGAGGGGAGGGGAGGGGAGGGTGAAGCGGGCGGAGTTGGAATCTGCAACACACTGCTACCACTAAATCCTCCACACTGGTCCTTTAAATAAGCCCAGCTACATAGCGACATTAAAAGTCAAATGGCCTCCTGTTTGGCAGATAGTCCTATACTTTCAATGCATGACTCTATCTGTTTGTGTGGATTTCGTTTAGATACTTTCTCATGTGTGTGCAATTGTGTGTCAACCAGGTTTGCTGCAGTGGACTATTGTACACTAAGAAACTGCATCATCATTGCTGTGAGGGCAGATACCTGAGTTTAAGTAATTTTTCCAATCCGGCGTGCTGCAATGGCAAACTGCTTCCAGCTCTCCCTGACCACCAGTGTTGCGGAGGATACTATGTTCATGTAAAAACCAGTGAGTTTCAAACCGCTTCATATGTTTACACTTTTCTACTTGACTGGAGTCTACCCTTTTCCATGTTGTTCAAGTGTTTCCTTCATCTGTCCTTGTCTTTGTAGATGAAAAGTGCTGTCCTGACCACTCGCAGGGCCGGGTCTCAGTGGGCCTGGGTGACAGCTGCTGTGGGGGGGTTCCTTACTCGATGAAAGGCAGGCAGGTCTGCTGTAGTGGGAGCCTCCATGATGGCTATGGGGTCCAATGCTGTGGAGGCCGGATTGAAGATGATACATTGGTGTGCTGCGGTGATGCTGAGAGGGGGGAAGGGCATACATACGTTCCAGGTGGGTGAAGGAAAGACACAGATACAAACATAGATTAACATTAACTGTTATAATAATTAAATGTAAAATATAAATATAATTGTTCCTATTTTTTAAGAGGGAGAAAATAAAAATTAAGTTTTTTGCCCACACTGGATGAATTTTGATGGCCTTCTGAGCCTTCTGTATAGAAAACAGTTTTGTTTCGAGAAAGTTCTTTATTGTAAAATCCAATCAACAAAAAGGCCCTTTGTTCAGAAAACAAGTTACTCTTACCAAAAAGGAATTTGTCAGAGTTTGGTTGTGACGTTTTTAATGTTTATTTTGGGAAAAGATAGAAAATGATAGGAGAAGAGAGTAAAGCAAAAAGGGTTGAGGTAGACACATGGTGTAGGAACGTGGGGTCGTTTCCCTTTCTTCCTCTCCTGCAGTGTCCCAAAGCACCCGGATACCATGGCACAGATGGGACTGTGTGTGTGTGTATGTGTGGGTGTGGGTGTATGTGTGTGTCATTAGACATCTTTGTCATGGCAGATGATGATGAAACACACTCGGGATGGCACCGTTGAGGGCACTGCCAAGCACACAGCAGGACAAATACACACTCATTCTCTCTCCTTCACACAAACACATACAGTCACACACACTTTCACACATATAGACATATTACAAGCACCCACACATACACACAAACACACACACAGAGTCAACAGGGTGCCCTCGGCAGGGTTCGCTTAGTGTTGAGTGCCAGAGACAGACACGTGGACTCTATTCATCACACATAAACAATGGCCCCATATGGACAGGCCTATAGTACTCCATTAGCCTATCCACAGACACACAGACACACACTGACACACACACAAGATCCCTACAGACAATAAAATACATGCATGCTGACAAAAAAGTTATTATAAAATCTTACTTTCTTTCATTCTTTCCAACATGTTTACTTTTCATGAAATTGTAAGACTTTTAGCGATAATTAAATTTCTGAGTATTTTACTCCATCGCCCCGTTACTTGTTTCCTCTCATCTGTTTCATTTTCTTCTCCACTAAATTCCTTTTTCTTCCAACTGAGCAGGCTATATGGTCATTCTTCATTTGAGGTGGCCTCCCAAGGAGTGCATATGCTCCCCCCTCCTCTTCCTCTCCATCTCCTGGTTTTATTTATTTCACATCTCCTCTTCTCCTTTGTCATGTTCTTTGTTACTTTCCCTCAACTTGTTTCCCAGCTTACTCTGGCCTCCTCCCACCACCCTTTTATTTCTCCTCTCTTCCTCACCCTATTCTTCTCCCCTCCCTTTCTTTATGTGCCCCCTTCCCATCCACTCATCAGTCATTAGCGTTAGCTTCCCCATTGAGAACATATGGTATGATGGATCGTAGGGCTAGCGGCGCTAGCAAGGCTAAGGGCCATTTGCCGGGTGCACTGCGCTGTCGGGGAGCCTTGGGGCTGGCTATGCAACCTCGACCCCACACGTCTGTTTCAAGACACTCACACTCACACACACAACATTCACACAGCAACACCTATTATAGGATAGGCTACTTAACCTTGGCACCAGTCACTCTCATTGCTGCCTCTCACCATGTCCAGACAAAAAGAAAGAAAAATGGAAAGAAAGAAAATGAGAAGACAAGAGAAGAATAAAGATAACATGCAATTATATTTAAAGTAAATAATATTGTACCTTCAAATAAGTTGTCAAAAAAATGTCAAAAACTGATAAAAGTGAAAAAAAAGAAATAGAGAGAAGACTACAAATAAAGTACAATTTACTACAAACAATAGTATACACTTGAATGTAAATTTATATTGTAAGAAGAAAATTAAAGAAAGAAAGAAAGAAGAGTCAGAAAAAGAAAGAAAGAAGAGTAAGAAAGAAAGAAAGAGTTAGTAGTTAAAAACTATAAAATATGAATCAGACAGAGGATACTGTGAAAGAACAGAGAAAGAGGGGAAAAGTGAGTGAGAGAAAAAAACAGAAGAGTGGTGAAGAGCTAGATGGAGCAGATTAAAGGAGGAGTGAAGGGTATCCCATTGTGCCCAGCTGATAGACTAGGTTAGGCTGATGTGATTATGGGGTCCCTGAAGTGCGATCTATCACACATTACCGTCCACACTGTCAACAACCATACACACACACTGCAGGGGAACAGCAATGCCAGGAGACAGCCGTCTGGCAACAGATACACTTACCGGCTTCCGTGCACATGTGCACACGTAAATGTACACACACACATTCTCACACACACGCATGAAGAAAACATGCATGTGTAAACACACAGAATTGCATGCACGTGTACACTCAAACAAAAATATACAACACACACATGTTTGTGTTCAAGTCTGGACTGTTTCAAACAGAAAAGCAGTGTATTTCAAGTGAAGTAGAAACAGGGTCAGAAACATTACCTCACCTAACCCGTCTCAAGAATTAAACAAAAAACTTAGCCAGTTGACAGTGTTCTGCGAAAATGGTTCTTTGGGTTTAACTTGATTAAAACACACAGTAAGCCAAATAAGTTGTTACTGTTCTCCCTCTATATATGGTGTAAGTTGATATCATTCCTGCCCACCCAACACCCACCCATCTATGTACCTACTCACCCTGCAGACTGGCATATTTTAAGTTTTAAGTGTTTTTGTAATTACTTGATGGAAACTTATTTTTTCAGTTTTTCCTTATAGTTCAAATGTGTACCAGAATGTTGTGAATAGTCTATTGTTTAGCTGTAGATACCCACTTACTCCAACTAGGATGTTGATATTTTCTTTTTTTTATGTCAGACTTTGGATTTAAAAGATTTGTAATTAGTTACTACCCCCCAGTGCTAGTATCAGAAACGACACAGTGGAAGACAGCCATGCACTCCACCTCTACAGCAGAAATCTATCTTACCACAATTATATAAATGGTTTTCCCATTTATGGTACTAATTTTATTACCTCAGTTAACAGTTTCCTATTGAGTTTATGGTCTTAACTGCTATTTTCAAGTATTTTTCCTTGCAACATGATGTTCATTCTGTAAATTCATTGTTTCATTTAGAGTAAAATAGACAAAAAAGGTCTACTTATTAGGCTACCTCATACGAACAGGGTATTCTTTCGGGCGTGGCTGCCTTGTGATTGACAAGACACTTTTGAGGGCCCGTCCAGCAAACGCACGCAACTGAGATCAAACTAGGTACTGTTGATCAAATATGAATAAAGATTAAGTTACTGCATTGCCTATTTCTCACCTTATATTTTTCAGAAACATACAACAAAAGTGTGCTCTTCTGTAATCTGTAATACAAGAACGTGTGTAACCAGGCAGGCTGCCATTCTTTGCTGCCACGGATGAGTAGCTACAAAAAAACAACATGGCGACAGCCATAATGTCAAACTCAACGCACCAACCAATGGATGACATCACGATAGGTGCACACTTGGTTCCTGCCTACATGCGTTTTTATTCAAACTTACCTGGTAGTAACACTAATACAACATTTTAAATGGCCTAACTTCTACTCTGGCCAGTTTTAATCTTTGGGGTATTATTGAGATGGTCTATAATCCTTCCCTCAGCATTCCCTAGTTATTATACAGTAACACAAAGTCTCTATGCTAAATCCCTCCCTTTCAAATCGGGCAGTTTGTTTAAACAGCTTTCATTTCACTTTCGAGTAGATTAAATACCGTTTGTTTTTAGACAAGAGAGCCTCACTTTTCTTGCAGCATTTCCTCCTGTGTTGCAGGTTCAAGACCAACTTTTAAGCTCTTCATTTGCTCCTTTTTTCTTCTGTCTCTGAGTTTGTATGTAGGATGTTTAGCTAAGACTTACATGAGATTAGATGGTGTTTAAAGGAATGCGTGTGGTGTCTTTGGCCTCCCGTTGCTCCCTGACTCTCCCTAAGTCCCCCGCCTCATTGCACGTGCTCCACTAATCATTTCCCCTTCACACTTTTTCTTTATAGTGTATCGTTCTTTAACTCTTCCATCTGCCCTTGAACCCCACCTTCTCCATCTCTCACTGTGGGTGCTACCATAAATGCTTTCCTAACCTCACCTTTTCCTAAAGTAAGTGAATCTTAAACATGTGTGCATTTCTTTAACTCCTTCCCCTACTCCCTCCCTCTGTCCCAGCCCAGCAGGCCCCATCCAAACGTTCAAGGACAAATCTGAATATCCCTTTTCACCGTTTAAGTGTTAAAAGCCTGGCGGTGCCGGGGTGTTATCTTAACGCGCCTTGCCGTGCCATCATCAGAGCGCGTGATGAAAATGGCTGTGATGATGCTAAAAGAAAAAAAGAGGAGGGGGAGAAAAAGTAATAATCAAATATGTTTTTCAAGGGCACAGTGACCATTTGCTGGAGGGAAATTATCCCAGTAGTTAAGCTAGCTCACTCCGAGCCTGGCGGAGTTGTGAGAGTGGATGCATTTGTGTGTGTAAGTGTGCAAGGTTTATTACTTCAACTTGGTGCAAGTGTGCTTCACTTTCTGCATGCAGGTGTCTGTTTCTCTATATGTATCTGAATGTTTTTTGCAGTTTACATACATGTTTCTTTACACTCACTCATGTCCTTCCATTGTTTCTGCCAAAATATTCTCATCAGTTTCTGAGTGTGTATGTCTGTGTGGGTGTGTGTGTGTGCGTATGTTTATCATTGCCAAAAGCCCCTCATCAATGATGGGTAGCAAATGGCCAACAGTAGTGCATTCCAAACAGCAGCGTCTGGCTGCTTTAGAAGATCGAGTACTCTCTGAACACAGGAAGACATTTCTCTCTCTGTTAATGTATTTATGATGATGGCTTTTCTATTAGGTTTACTTTAATGACTGGCAAGAATAAAACCGGAGGCTGTCAGGAGCACAGCAATCAGGACAGTTTTCTGTGTATGTCTCTGTGTGTGTGTGTGTGTGTGTGCGTGCGCATTTTATCTGCCTTTGTGTTACTCTTGATGTTGTTACTGTAACACATTGTGGACTTAAAAGACATAAATTCCAGGTATGGGCAAGGGGCAAATTGAGC